GTGTGCAGACATACGTGATGGCAAAACACTCATACTCATAAAATAAAAGTATATTAAAAAAACTATAAAGATACTACCCATATGTTTTGATGTAGATTTTTAAATACAGCTTGTTATATGAAGGAGCCTTAGCTAACAGTGTGTCTAAAGGCATTTAGCATTTAGTTCTCAGATAAAATGATGAAAAGAGACTTTTGTCACGTCCAGTGGTTTGGGAAGGAATGTCGGGCTACAGAAGGGGTTCCTGTCAGACGCTAACAGACTCAACAGCTCCTCAGACAAAGTGGACATTTTTCTGTCAGAGGAACCCACTGCTCCATGGAGAGTCTCAAGTAATCCCAGCTGCAGCAGGATGTGGGTTGCCAAGTACAGACACAATCTGTCCCCTCTCCTAAAATGAGGTTCTCATTATTCTTAAGGAGCCACACACAAGCTGTTGGCAATTTGCTCAAGTGAGGAGCAAGCCATATTGACTCAGTGGCAATATTTCAAAGTTCAAAGAGCAACACAAATTGAATATGCTCACAGCACCAACTCCCCCAGCCCTTTTGGACCTGTCTAATAATAGCCGAGACAAACGAAAAGATTGATGACTGTCACAGACCCCAGCAGTCAAGCCTCACTTGTGCAAGACAGAACAGGAAGAGGGACCGTTTAGTAACTCAGCTTACTCAGAGCTGCATTGCAACAGTTCACCAAGCAGCTGCTGTGGCTGCCAGCTGCCACTGGGTTTACCAGGCTTCAGAAAGGATTCGTGAGTGTCTGCTAAGGCAGTAGTAAGTGACCGTGTCTGCAGGACATAACAAACTTTATAAAATAAAATAACAAACCAATTTGGTAAGAAAAGTACATAGAAGCACACGAGAGAACAATTCATAAAAGAACAAAAATAATAAATGTATTAGAAAAAACTGGACCTTAACATTAAGCTCAACCTCCCTTCAAAAAATAAACAAAGTTGGAAATTTTTTCCCATTAAGTTAATCAGTCAAGGTTTTATACATACATACATACACACACACACATACACACACACACACACACACACACACAGTGAATTTGAAATAGACATGAATTACTATAAAGAGAAAATATTTGGACAAAATTCTTAAAAGCTGTTTGGCAGTAAGTACTTGTTGTTTGAAAATAGTCAAAAGGAAAACCAAGACATTCTCTGTGTCTAAATTGTTTAATCTGGCCTTTTATGTGGAAAAGAAATATTTAAAAAAAAACAAGGGAAAATTTAATAAATATGATGATAAAAGAATTAGCACTTAAGAAAACCATCCACCAGAGCATGGTGGTACACATCTTTAATGTCAGCACTCCCAGAGTTCAAGGCCAGTCAGGTGAGTTCCAAGATAGCCAGGACTACATACTGAGATCCTGTCTTTTTTATTTATTAAAAAAATAGCATTTGGAGACTGGAGAAATAGCTTGGAAATTAAATATAAACACTGCACTTACAAAGGACCCTGATTTGGTTTCTAGCACCCACATTGGTTGGTTAAAAGTCATCTGTTAACTTCAGGTCCAGGTGTCAAATGTCCTTTTCTAGACTCCTGGGCGCCTGCACTCACATGGGCTTATGGTCACATATAAACACATGCGTACACATAATTAAGAATAAAATAAATATGGAACTGAAGAGATGATTTAGTGATTAAGTGAACGTGGTGTTTTTGCAGAGGACCCAAGTTCAGGTCCCAGAAATCACATTGGGCAACTCTCAATCACCTGAATCTCCAATTCTAGAAATATCTGACATCCACTGCTGATCTCTGTAGGCACTGTGCACAAAAACACACAGTCACATGCATGTGCACAGACACATGATAGATAGATAGATAGATAGATAGATAGATGAATAGATAGATAGACTAAAACAATAAAATAAATTTTTAAATATGGAAAGAAACCATGTAGTTTCAAGTAAATATTCTGTTTCTGAAAATGTTCTTGGCATCAACAGGGTTTTTTCCTTGTTATTGTAGAATTAAACCAGAACAAGATAGTATATATGATTATTATGAATATTTTAATTTCAAATAAAAAATCTCAAGACACAAACTTGCACACATATTATGGTTACTACAAATAAAGATATGTTTTATATAAACTGCTTATAGATGGAAATAATCTAACATCTTTATGTGAGTGTAAGTGCTTATGTACATGGGTGTACAGTCATATGCTATGCACATGCCCATACGTATGGAGACCAAAGGACAAACTTAGCTGTGGGTTAGCGGGAGACATTATCTATCCCCGTATGGGTGGGGTTTGGTTTAAGACAGGGTCTCACTGACCTACAGCTCACCAAGGGAGACTAGATTGGTTCAATGGTGGACCTTAGGGATCCACCCTGTTTCTTCCCCTCTAGTACTTCAATTATAAACATGTGCCACCAAGCCTGGCTTTTCTTCCCACGGGACTTAGGGATAAAATTCTACTTCTCATGTTTGTATAGCTAGTTCTTCACACATTGAACCATCTCCCCCATCCTGTCTGACTTTACAACAGTGGATAGACTTTGATGGTGAAATTATGGGTATTTTTTCTTGCTTTCTCTACTGTGTAAACACAAACTTCTGCTTAATATAATTTCATCATATTTACTACCTCCATCTTCAGATGTTAAATTAGAAAAATGTCTGAGCTACCATATTCATCTTTTTATTTTTTCAGAAAATATTTATTGAGTTCTCCCTATGATCACAAAACACTAGCTACCTGAGTAGAGATAATTACATATGAGGCATATTTCACACTCTCCAGGAGCATATAAAAATACAAGAGGATAATGCAATAGCAATGTAGACTCATCATAAATTAGATGAATTGCATTCATCTGCATATGGTGGCCTTGTACAAGGTGAAAGATGAAGCCAATCTCTGGGGGCCTGTGTTCCTTCCCCGGATACTAGTAATCCAGGTGAATTTCCTGAAGTAACAATTCTACAGTTGCTGACAGAATCTGGACTCAAGATAATAGCAGAACTAATCCAGATCTAGAAAACATGCCAGTCAGAGAGACCTGCAAACCTGAACTCTGGCCTTCTTAAAACTCCATCTGGCTGTCTATAACTAGTTTTATCCTTGAACTATCTTTACAACCTTTAGAAACTCCCCATCTGTCATTTTGATTATAAACTCAACCCATTTCAAAAATTAACTTAAAATAGTACTTTCTTTGCAGGGAGTTCAAAAACTTTTGAGGTGGCTCTTTCCGTGTGCGGAAAATTTGAGCCACTCGTTAGTGTGACCAACCATTGGTCATTGAACCAAGCATTAGACTAATGCATCTTTACACACAAATAAGGAAGACCCCACCCCTTGAAGCACTCAGTGGTGCAAATGGAAAGGTGTGAACTGTACAAAGTGAGGGCCTTATGCAGGGATTTAGATTCTGCCACACACTGGAATAGACACCAAGGAAGGAGCAGTTCCTTCTGCTTCTCCAATGATCTGGTCAAGCTAGATGGCACCGAGCAGACATTTTAAAACAGGGGAAGACATCTTTCTAAAACAGAGTAATGAAATCAGAATATGTGTGTCATGGGAGCAGAAGGAAGCAGGTGGAGAGAGGACAGGGAGAGCAGTTGGAGAGAGCAGAGGCTTGGGGAAAGATCAACAACAAGATGTGTGTGAAAATCCCGTAACATAACAAGACCTGTTCTGTTTTATATTAAAAGTCACTGGGGGGGGGACTTGCTTAAATTTTGAAGCTCCACAATGTACATTTTGTATTATTAATGTAGAATATGTGAAGCCAAGTACTTCCGTAGAGGACTCTCTTGAGTTTGACTTCATCTTCTTCCACGCCTTGTTTATCTGTTTTATAAATGGTATTGTTTTTGTGCATGTGCTAATACCTGATGTGAAGCATGTCAGAGAAGTTAGTTATGATCTGGACAGTCATCTGATAGTGATAAACTGAGGCTCAGGTTTACTGAGCAAATCATAGCCCTGAGCAGTAGTTTCAGAAGGAGAACAGCAGCCCAAGCCATGGAGACATTTCCTTGTTGCTCTTACTTTCTGTCAATACCAGGTACCACTCATCAAAGTTTTTCTTTTTCTTCCCCTTTTCCTCCTTTTCTCCCTCCCCTTATCCATTTCTTTTTCCTTTTCAAACAAGGCCTCAGTAAGCATCCCAGGTTGGCTTTAAACTTATCATCACTCTGCCTCAATCTTCCTAGTCCTAGAGTTACAGATGTGCGACTCCATGCCCAGTGGTAATAGCCACTTTTTGATTTTGAAAACAAGCCTTCTAAGTGTCTTATCTAGAACTTAGCATTCAACTATCATTGATTCTCACCTTCTTGAGTAGCTATGAGCCTCTGCATTCACCCCTGGACACAGTGGTGGAAGATAAGGGTAATTAGATTGTATTGCATTCATGTAGAGGATGTATCCATGTATATAAATGCCCAAAACAAAATCAACTAATAGAAAAGAGAATCTGCTTACTAAAAGAAAAATAGCCATGTACTTTGATTATAGACAGAAAGAGCCAACATGATTTTAACACGGAGATGAAATACTAATGGTAGATGTAGATCACAAAAGTGGGAAGGAATGGGGAAAACTGTAATACAACATGAATTTCAAAGAAGGAGCCCACAAACCTTCATTTGGATGGCAGAAGACTTTAACTAGTTCCAATGAAGGGATTGGATTAGTTGATCCCCATGGTAGCTGTGTTTCAAAAATATCTGTCAAACTGTTGAAGTGCCACATAAAATAGTTTTATACAGATTCAATCCTGTTTACAAAAAGTTGATCATCCCCATGGAGAACACAAACAGTAAAAATAGACCACAAAACCTGACTCAGATAGCCATCTAACTTCACAATGAGTTCCTCAGGGAGCCTGTGTCCTCCACATTGGAAGTTTCATTAAAATACAGGACAGATTATCATCTGCTGGGAAAGTATAAGAACACTTCTACCCAAAGGAAAAGAGATAGACTAGATAAAATTTTAAAGTAATTGCTAACCTTTCTAGACAGGCTGTGAGTCAGTGGCCAAATGTCCTTCCCGCCTGTACTTGGACCAGAGACTGCCCCTTTCTCTATTTCATCTTAACGTCCAGTTATTTTATTGTTGATTGAATTTCCATCTAACCTATGGGGAGACATAAAAATGAAAGAAAACCCCAAAGAAACTTTGACATTGAGTTCTTTGCTAGTGTAAATTTTTGCTCTGAGCACAGATTATAACAGGAGAAGACAAACATTGTAGCTGAAGCATGATTTGGATTCTCAATGTACACTTGTGCCCCCACTTCTCCATGCAATAGAAACAACCTGATTGCAGAACAGAAGTGGTTGCTCAAACTACATTACAGAGAAGGGTTGGTTCTACATAACCTCTCAACTTAGATTTTCAGAATCAGGTTTTTTCACTCCAAATCATACTCCACGATGATTCCTTTTCTCTCCTATATACCTTCCTCAAACTCATTTTTAAAAGTCCGCCATGAAGCAGGTATGATTCTAAGGTGACTTTAGAGAAATATCAGGGTGTAGCTCAGTGACCTACCTATCTATCCCATTAAAAGCAGCACAGCAATCAACTCCCTCTCAATTGAAATAGGCAGAGGAGTGCTTGGGGCTGATCTGAATTACTTAGCACTGATGGCCCCTACTTTATTTTGCTCATCAGGAAGCCAAAGAGAAAGGTGCATTTAGCACTTACAACCTAAAGAGAATGCCTCAAGTTTAAAGATTGTAGTGTTTTTTTTTTGAAAAAAAAATCAATTTTCATTGATCAGGATTAAGTTCTTTTATAAGTACTACCCCACACATAAGCTTCTTAAATTGTGCTCAGAAAGAAGAAACTGTTAATTTCCTGAGCTTCAAATGTGTTTGAAACAAACGATATTTCAAAAAAAAATGATATTTCTAAACTTATTCTCTTGAATGTCATTTATCCTTGTATCCTACATGCCATACTGACTGGAGGAAATGAAGCTCCCCAAACCCAGGATGGACAGAACACAGCTTAGTCTATCTAATCCAGGAAGAAAGATGCTTTCTCCAAATCTCTCTAGTAAACTTTAATCTGTAGGGATAAGTCCCGCCCCTTGGGGGGCGTGTTCGCCTCCGGCTAATGTTTACCTATAAATTTGGCAAGCCTGCTCCCAGCCATCTCTTCTGCTTTCCTGGTCTCCGCGGGAACGGTGGTTCTGTAAGTCTATTTCTACATTAAAGATATATATTTACAATCTGTCTGCATTCGTTTACGCCGTTACACTAATCTATCTCCCTGTGAGAAAGATCAGGAGAATGTTACACTTAAGCTAAAGTTCTTCTAACACACCCTTAGCACTCAAAAAACTCATTATCCCCTGGGTTCAGCGACAAGAGCTACACCTGAAAAATACCACATTAATAGCAAAACAACAGTGTAGTTAGTCAACTAACCCGAGATGTTCTTGCTCTTCAAATACTGCAAGGTATGCCTGCCAGGTTAGGTCACTAACTAAAATACTTTTGTACATTGGGCAAAATGAGCCCAGACGGAAATAAAACAAAAGGCCGGTGCAGCATGGCAGGTAAGAGCACAAGCGTTTGGAGTCAGACAAACCTAAGACCAAATCCTGACACTGTACTTGTCTGAGACCTTGAACAAATTCTCCCTGAGGCATTGTATCACCCAACGAAAGAGGATCAGAGCAGTTAATTCACATGTAATTGCTCATTAAATAGTAGTTATTATTTTCATTATTATCTTCCCCAGGATCACAGAAAGCCTCTATTTTATACTACAAATCCTTCAAATGCAGTTTCCCTTACCCCATAATCTAACCTTTAAATACAACGATGTAATTAAGAGTGGGATTAAGATCACTGTCTATTTTCAAAAGAGTAGAATTAAAGCCATTTTTAGAGAAACCAGAAATCACCTTCTATAACACCCTGGGCCAGAGTGCTGTTCCAATTGATTTCTCAGGCAATCTTTCGAACTATGTCAGCTATACTTTGGAGAGCATCCTCTCAAAGAACAGGGATTGTCTTCCAATCATGGCTAGAATGGAGGAAGGACAGGAAAGTGAAGGAAATGTGGTTGGGTCCCACATGAGGTATACCCTGACTTTCTAATTACTTGTATTTTGGGAACGACCATTTATTTGTACAAGAAGGAGAGGCAGTGTGGATGGATGTGGGGAAGGAGTAACAGGAGAAATCGCAAGAAATCACAAACAGAAACAGTTTTCAAGATTGACAGCTTCTCTTGGGTCTTCCCAGGGGAGCCAATTAGTGCCAGTGGCTGAGGTGGGTTTGGTCTTATACTCTCTACACTCACACCCACATGTGTTGTACCTCCCTCCAAAGGAGCAGCAAAGCTGAGATTAATGAGACTTTGGACTAGTCATCCCTCAGAGAGTCCTGCCAAGGATGCTAAAACAGATGTCTTAGGGTAACCTACAAGGAAAGTCCCTTCGATGCTATTCCCGTATCGGATATCTAGAAATGTCAAAATAATGATTTGGTTTCTTCTTTTTTTTTTCCTGTTTCTTCACTCCTTATCATCTGGTTGACCATTGTCTCTAGCTGCTGAGCATGACTCTTCCATGAGTGAATTCATAGGTCTCCATGCCAAAAAAAACAAAAAAACAAAAAAAAAAGATATGGCAAGGACTGGCAGTGTCTCTGGCATCGTTGCCTTCCTTGGCAGTGAATACAAGAGTCATCAAACAGTTAATGCAGTTTAAGCAACATCTGGGAATCTGCCCAGCCCAAATGCTGCTGGATAAAATGTATTCAGTGTTTCCACTGCTTCAATATGCCAAGTTCAGAGTGTCTTGTGAATCAATTTAGTAAAGCCTCAGACAGACAGACACAATTCTTTTTCCTCTCCTACTCAATAACAATCCTCATGGTCACAGAAGGGAACATATCTGGTTGCGACTAAAAATGACAAGCAGCAAAAGCTGAAATAAAAACCATGGTGAGCATAGCACTGCATAAAGGATTCTAAAAAGGAAAAAAAAACAAACACATTGAGATCTTTGCTTTTGAAAAGCAAGTAAGAATAAAATTAAGATATTGGTTAAAAAATACAGGAGAAAAATAGAAGCTAAACCGTATCTTCATAGTCTCTTAAAAGGAAAATAAATAAAGATAAAATCAGGAAAAACTACCTCTCCATAGGAAACCAGATGTGATTTATAATTTTAGATGATGAGAGTTCAATTAGAAGAATTGCTAAATGTAATGTGTGGAAACAAAGATTTATAAGGAGGGCAATGGATGCTTCGAGATGCTGAGACTCAGTGATCTACAGGGTCCTCATATTTCCCCTCCAATTCCAATTGTCATGAATAAAAGAGAAATACAAAAATTTTCTAACCTTTATAGTGGATCGGATTTTCCCTGACATGATTTTATTATCATAGCTGAGGTGAGTGAGGTAAGTGACTACTGATAATTTGGTTTCAGTAAGAAGGGGAATGGAATGTTGACCTTGTGAACAATGAAGCAATCACAGAATTCCCTAAAAAGAAAGAAAGAAATTTTCTCCTTCCCCTACACCATCTTCTCTCTTTAGCACACCAACTTTCTCTCTGAAAAAAATTTACTTTGAAAAAGACAGCCTAAAAATACGTACATACATATACACAGACACATCAATCCATCTAGTCATTCATTCTTTCATCCTAAGCATTTTATTTTGAAGTAATTCTTTACATAGACTAGGGAGTCTCAGAGGTGTTAAGTCACCAACATTTGGTAACGTTTGAATCCTCAAAAGGATTTCAAGCTAGAGAGGTGGGTTATGTTACCATCTATTCTAGACCTATTCTAGGCCTGCAATATCCAGTCTGAACTTGGAAGAACTTGGCTGTGCTGCTCAGGACCTGTGTACCCTTCTCACAGAAGACCTCATCCCATCCAGATGCTATGGCTTATATCTTAACTATTTCACAAAGGCCGGGTACTAAGATACGAAACTTTCCCCTTCCCCTACAGCATCTTCTCTCAGTAGCCAGTGATCTCTAAAAGCTGAATCCTTAAGTTGTAGAGGGAGTCTAGCAGGGGGAGGTTAGGTCATGCATTTGAAGGACTTTACTAGTCCCTCTAGCCCTGCCCCCAATCTGCCCTCCCCTCTCAGCCATCTTGGAAACAGGTTTCCTACCCCATGTGTTCTCTGTCAGGATATCAACTAACCAAATGCCCAAGAGCAACAAGGAGAAGTGATGTAAGCTGAAACCCCAAATCAATCAAAAATCAAAATAAAACTTGGAGTTTCCTATCCCACATATTTTGTCATGGTGATAGAAAGCTGACTAACTCATCAGATTACAGGCTAGTAAATATTTTATAGATGAAGAGAGAGCAGTCAGTAAAACCTTGACCAAGAGGGCCTGTGAGATTTGTTTATTCACGTATTCAACAGATAGGGACACACAGGGACCAGAGATAGAAATTGCGGGTGTACTTCTTGCCCTGTGCCAATTACAGGAGACCAGGCATCCATTTGAACTGTGGAAATGATACTTGTGAATGTAGAAAAGCTGAATGCACTACGTTTTAATCACCGAGTTATTTTCATCCTCCATGCTGGGGATAGGAACATAGTTGAATACATGATACCAATAATGAACAGATTAAATTTACAACAAATCATTATCACAGAAACTTTCTGCCCAGGTCTAGGCATTGCATGTATATAAGTCACATGAAGACTGGAGTCAGAAGCAGTGTGAACGAGCAGAGGCTGGATGAGGCAAGTGATGTAAACACCAGATGGCAAGGACTCAGGTTCCCATGACAAGACATGTCTGGCTTGTTTGTTAATTCCACAAACTGACAGGAAACTAGAGCCCAGTACTCAGATATAAAGTTGCCCCACCTGATTCCCATGGTAAAGAAAGATACTTGCCCAAAGACCTTACCCACAAGGGCATAATGGGAAGGACTTAAGATTAGGTCATTCAAGGCTGTATTGCTTTTACCAAAAACTTCAAGGCTAACTTCACAAAAGAGAATTGATTCAGAGGATGGCTCATGGTCCACAGTGGAGGGTTTTTATGACTTGATCAGAAAGACTTGGTCACTGAGACAGAACTTACCCAGAAGATCTC